AAAGAACGGGTGTTCTGTCAGGTCAGATCGTTGTACGCTTAACACGAACTCACGGTGTTGTCAGATCAGCATACGTTGTCAGGTAGTCGTATGTCTGTTGTTGAAAGAAATCCAAGACAAGTTTTGTTTTCAATTTTCCACAAGTCATTCGGGGGACAGAGCAAACATGTAGCAGAAAAGTCTTCAGTAGGATGAGTATGTATGTATGTGGAAGAAAACTAACTCTTAACACACGATTCCCACAGTGAAACATGGTGATGGCAGCATCATGCTATGGGAACATTCTTAACTTTAAGCGTTCAGTCAGAGCTACAACTAAATGGTTTTATTAATTGCTTTCTCATTTCCAAGAATGCCCCAATCATAGTGGAAATTTAAATCCATATAAAGGATCTGTGGGAATATAAGCTGATGGACTGAGCTTAAGCTACTTTGCAAATATATGTATGCATTACTTGATGTTGGTGTATCAAATGAAATGTAAAAATGGTTCAAGAAATATGACATTTATAATAAGAAACTGAAAAAAATGGACATGCAACTTTAATTTCACAGCATGCAAAAACCGATGTCAAGTTTTTTCTAACCTGACAAAAAGTGGAATAAGACTTTAGGTGCCAGAAGCATTGCAATTTGAATGAATCCTCATCCACTTTACTCTCTTTAACTTACTTTAAGTTAAGGAGGGTAATTAATATATTTTAATATAGAAACAGATTAACAATGAAAATTAATTTTCTGCTTCACTTTTGGGTATTAGGAAATTATGACACATGTGAAAGTGAACAGCAGATTAAGGAAAATAAACTGTTCTTTGATTTTCTTATTAAAAGCAGCAGCATCAGGGGCCTTAGTATCCCTTTCCTACCTGGACAAGTGTCTGAATTCAACAAACTGGAGGAAAATCCAACATTAAAACAAGAAATGCTCATCAGACAAGGCAGTGACAGAGTGAAGGACTGCTTAAACTGAGAGCTACTTAGACACCTGACATTCCCCGTCTTGTCTCAGCCAGACAGCCAGCCAGCCTGACCCTGTCTTTGCATGTCTCTTCCCTCAGGTGGATAAGCTGAGGACTGCTGTGATTTGGCAGGGAGTGTTGCAGGTGTCTCAGGCTGCATCCCAGCTGTGTCTGATTAACAAAAGCTCACTAACTGACACAAGGGGACTTTGATCAGACAAAATAATCCTTAAATAACTTTTCCTTTTTTGTTCATCTGGTTGTGTCTATTGACCCTAGTGATTTACATCTATAACAAGGAGTATAGTCAGTGCAAGGAAAAGAAGAAGAAAAACCTTTTCGGCTACTTACCACTTTGACCAGCTGTGACATGGACACCTCAAACTGCACAATGACCGGATCAGACACGTTTTCCACAGGTCGTATGTACTGATTGTAGTTGGAGAATATCACTGAGAAGAGCCTGTGCTCTGCTTCTGAACATGTGCCTCCTGCACCGAAGCAAATTGTCAGACATGGATCAGCGACTGCAGGATTTTTCATAATGCAGAAATCCATGTCATACATTTTCAAGAAAATTTTGCTATTTTACCTGCATGCAATTTGGTCTTAGTGCATGGAATGCAAATTTAACACTGTTACAAGTCACTCAATGAATAGCAACTACATTAAATAATTATTACGATTAAAAGAAAGTTTTCAAATTTGTGCATGTTCAGCTGATACGAGAAATTAAAATTTGTTTTTTTATAAAGAAATGCTAAACAAACATTAAAGCAACATGTAGAACTATGAACAGAAATCAAGAAATGCAACAAGTAAGCAAGATGTTATAAATAAAAGAAAACTTACCTGACAACAGATACATAAAGAACAAACAACTAGGAAATATTAAGTCAAATTTGTGATCCATCCTGTGGTAACCAATAAAGGGCAAATAAAACTGGGGTCAACGGCAGCAGAGCTCCGCAATGCACACGGAGGGAGAACAAGTGAAAGCGAGTGTGCAGCTGCAGACACAACCGGAGAACAGGGGGAGGGAGGCAGGGCACAGTAAAACACACAGCCAGTCACTGAGAGGAACCACGCAGCACACAGATGTGCAAGCTATGGTCACCGAATCAAATCAGACAACAGGAGGTGTGAAATTTAAGAAGGATTTTGGTTTTGTGAAAAACAAGAAATTAAAAAAAGGTAATTCCTTCAAGTCAATATGCTATTTGGCATATTGACCCAGCCACTGGGTTCAGCAAATCAAATGCTTTATGCTGTCAGCAGATCAGGTGGTATTCACTTGTGTTTCCCTTTCACATGCATTCATCATAAATTAAATATTAAATCACAGGCCTCTGAGCCGCTGTGCTGTGGGCAGCCTTCAGCTGCCCACAGCCGCACAGCTGTGGGCAGTGCGGCTGCCCACAGCCGCACTGTCATTTATTCACTTATTTTTTGAAAAACATATTTTAATTAAAACTAACTGTGATGCTGCATTTTAATGCAGAACTAAAGTCGGATGTTTTCATTTTTGAATAAATTAGCTGACTTTTTCTCAAACAGCTTTGTGGGCGTCCTCTATTAGGGGGAAGAAAGGGAAGGTCCAAGTTTGCTTCAGCTGACATCAAACACACTCTAAGGTCCTTAGAAAATAAATTCAAAATTTCCAGGACCAGGAAAGTTGCCTTAGCAACCTTTAGTGGGCATAGAAAAAAAAAAGTAACTTCAAGATGTAGAATAATAATGTTCTGCACAGTGAAGAAAAAGAAACAACAGGAACACAAAATAATAATTACTGGCTGGGCTAACAAAACAAAACAACACAATAAGTTGTCAACATCTTCAAATATTATCCAGTAGTTAAAGTTAAAGAGACTAAAAACCTCACAGGATTAGATTCTGTTTGAACTCTAGTCCTCTTTAGATATATACACTTTAGATTAAGAAATTGGAATCCATTAAAAAGCTTTATAAATGTGATATGACTAAATAGTGTAACTGACTTAGTTTTGTCGATGACTTAAGTATTTCAGTTCTGGTGGAGTTTGTAATGTGAAACCTCACTATAATTTAGATTCTAAAGGACAACACCTTGAACCGACCATCAGCACTAAACATGGAGGTGGCAGCATAATGCTGTGGAGTTGCTTTTCTTCAGCAGGGACCGTAGAACCAATCAGAGTTGATGTGAAGGTAAATGGTGAATGTGAAGAAAAATGAGCAGAAACTTTATGTTTGAAATGTGCAAAACTGGTAGAGAAATTCCAAACAACCCAAGCCTGTAATTGCAGAGAAAAGTGTTTTGATTATTTTTTTTGTAATGCTTGGAGAACACTGGATACATACAGTTAAGCCCAAAATAACACATACCACTGGCAGATTTCAAATTTAAATTATTTCCATTTAACCAAGAAATTGGTTTCTGACAGGTAATGACAGGCATCTCTCAAAAAATAATAAAATAATGTATATATATATATATATAC